ACCCCAGGTCATTCTCTGGCTAAAAGCAAGACTCTAAGGTGGCCTTGAAACACGACCGAACGCTGTACTTGCAGACACCAGGCTCCTTAGATAGAACACATTTGATGTGTTCTGTCCCACAGACCTCACAAAGCCACATCTGCACTCCATTGACTTGGTTGTTTACAGTTCTCGAGGAAAACAATTCCTGATTGATAGGAACGAGAATGTTTAAACTAGCTGTTTAAAATATGTTCAAACAACTGAAGAAAATGCACCTAAGCCATGAATGATGATAATACAAAAGAGGAGCGATGTATAATGGGAGCGGTTTTATATACTATTGAAAAGAGGACTGAGACTCGTGTAGTGGGACATGACTTTAATTACAGCACTTGGGAGGCGGATCTCTGTGAGTTCGAGGCCAGCCTGGTCTACAGAGTGAGTTCCAAGACAGCCAGGGATACATAGTAAGACTGTCTCAAAAAAAAAAAACAGTCTTTAAGAAAATAACTCAGGTGCTAGACAGCTCAGCAGTTAAGAGCACCGTCTGCTTTTGCAGAAATCCTGGGTTAAAGTTCCTGAACCCACATGGCAGATCAAAACCACCTGTAACTCCATTTCCAGAGGATCTGGTGCCCTCTTCTGGCTTCTGCAGGCACTGCACCTACACTCACGTAGCCAAAACAGGCATGTATATTAAAGGGGTGTGTGTGTGTGTGTGTGTGTGTGTGTGTGTGTGTGTGTGTGTGTGTGTGTGTGTGTGTGTGTGTGTGTGTATGTATAAAAGGCAACTCAAAAGGGGAGATAGCATTGGAAATGACAAGGTAAATGCTAGGGACGCTGCACACCAGCTGGTGTAATAAAACAGCAGCAAAGAGACAACTGTATGTCAAGTTTGGGGCCATCCTGGGCTACAGAACAGCAAACATGGGGAAACAAGCGCTTAACAGTCTCACTGGATCAGGAATTATCTCAATAAATGGATTAGGAATAGATTAAGCATCCAACTGCAGGAAGAGAGGATCAGAATGCCATTTACAACTTACAGCAATGCTTTCTACAAGAGACATTTTTGATTCAGACACACAGAAGTTGAAACTAAAAGGATTGAAAACAAACCCAGCATTTGGGTAGTGACAGAGGGAACAGGTATGACCACCCGAACCAGGTGAAGCTTGACATTTTAAACAGAAATTGACAGGTTTGGTAGGAATCCCGGCACTCAGGAGATGGAGCTGAAGGGTCAGGAATTCAAGACTATCCTTGGCCCCATGGCTAGTTCCAGGCCAGTGTAGGCTACCCAAAGCCCTGGCAAGAAACCACCAAAAACTGAACTAAAGTCAGCAACACTTGAGGGAGACTTACCAAACACTGATTAACACTGCTGTGCACTGGGCACACTCCACATCTTGTGCTCACAATTCTCAAAAAGTGAACTCTTTCATACCGAGTATGTTCTCTGACCAAAACAGGAATGGAATTAGAAGTCAACGACCAGGAGACAATTTGGACACACACAAACATAGAATGTAAATCACAAATCCGAAACAGTAGCTCAAGAATACGGCAAAGCGATACCTGGCCATACTAAAACCAAAACTGACCAACGATTGCAAAACAGTGAGAGCCTTGCTTGGGAAAGAACTCACAGCTGGAGATTACACACTGAAAAAGAAAAGTCTCAGATCAATAACCCAAGCTCCACTGGAGTCAACGAAACCCACGGCCACCGAAATAGGGAAAGAGCCAAGGCTCCAGGGCTGGGCTGAGACTCAGGAGCAGGGTGCTCACCTACTATACACAAGGCCCTGGGTTTGGTTCTCAGCAACAGAAAAAGAAAATTATAGCGGAAATAAGTAAAAAGGGTAAAACCAAATAAAACTAAAAATTTAAATAGATGAATAAATTAGCAAACGAGCTAAAACACTGAAATTATCAGTGAAAGGGAACCATTGCCAGCCGTCTAGACACACCACGGGCTCTCGGGCAATGCTGGGAATAGCTATATGCCAACAATCAGCTCAGGTGAATGTAGGAAGTCCTAAGAAAGATGAAATGAATGAAACTGAGTAAGAAATGCAGAACTCGCTGGGCACGGTGGCAGCACACGGCTTTAATCCCAGCACTCGGGAGGCAGAGGCAGGTGGAGATGAGTTCGAGGCCAGCCTGGCTACAGAGAGTTCCAGGACAGCCAGGACTACACAGAGAGACCCTGTCTTGAGAATAAAACAACAAAAAAGAAAGGCAAAACTCCTCCCTAGAAGAAAACATCTCTCAATTCATTTGGTGAGGTCAGCATCACCCTTCCGGCAGACAGACAAAAGTGTCTGTCATAAAAGGGTGGGTAGGATGGTCAGTGGGTAAAGGCACTCGCTGCTACCCATGACTACCTGAGCTGGATTCCTGGGACACACAGAGGAAGAAAAGAACCAATGACTCCCAACAAGTTGTCCTGTGAGCTCTATGTGTGTGCCTGCCACACCCACACACATATATACACAGAAAATGAATAGAATGTAAAAAAAAAATTAAAATATCACAAGAAAACCACAGACCAGTGTGTCTTATGGATGTCAAAGTCCCCTACACTAGCAACTGAGTACAGCAACAAGTGACCAGTCACCATAGTACACTTCATTTATCTCAGCCACAGAAGGACGGTGCTATATACAAAAGTCCATGTGTCATTGGTTTAGTTTAGACCTTACTTATTTTGAGATGGGGTCTTGTGCCTCAGGCTGACTTTGAACTCCTGATCCTTCTGCCCCTACTTTGCAGAGATTACAGCATGTGAAACCAAGCCTGGCTTATGAAGTGCTGGGGGGACACCTAGGCCCATGCATGTCAGATCAGCGATCCACCACTGAGCTACATCCCCAGTCCTAGATTGGATCTTCAGTGGCCCCTAAAGCTCATGTGTTAATGAACTCTATCATGTAATTATCTCAGGTATTGTTGCCAATACAGCAAGCTAAGAACCGTATTGTAAACAACCCCCCAAAGACAATAAAGAACAGACTCTGAAAAAGCATTTGACAAAATCCAACAGAGGCCAGGAAACATTCCTGAGGCCATCAAAACTGCAACAGAGGTGATGTCCTCAACTCCACAGTTAACACACTTGTCAGCGAAGAGCACACAGTGCGCTTTCTTTTATTTATTCATTCTATTATCAGCTTGATACAGTACACCTTCTTATCCTAATAGTGAAATGTTTCACTGAGGCTTGCCCAGTGATTGAGTAAAACCAAAACTTATTATATTGTTTTTTAAATATCAATACATGGGTGTTCTGCCTCCATGTATGTCTATGTACCACATGTGTGCGGCCTGTAGAAGCCTAAAGAGGGCCTAAGATCTCCTGGAACGGGAATTAGATTGTTGTGAGCCACAATGAATGTTAGGATTTGTGTTAAAAAATTGTTAAACATATAAAGAAATCCACTGTATATTGGTAAAGAGCTTCAATTGAGAAAATGCCTTCAGAAGATCAGGCTGCAGGCAGTAGGTCATCTTCTTAATTAGTCATCAGTGGAGGAAGGCCCAGCTCATGGTGGGTGGTGCCATCCCTGAGCTAGTGGTCCTTAGCAAGACAGGGGGAGCAAACCAGTGAGCAGCAGCCTCCATGGCCTCCAGGTTCCTGCCAGTTGTGTTCCTGGTCCTGACTTCCTTCAGTGATGGACTAAGGTATTAAGTCAAATAAACCCTTCTCACCCCTGCTTGCTTTTGGTCATGGTGTTTCATCACAGCACCAGAAACCCTAAGGGCGGCCAAGTTTGCCCTAACAACCCACTCATACCTGCAGTTAATACAAGTAGCCCTTATCACCTCTTTAAAAGCCCCAGGTCTCAGCATGATTGGCAGAGGGGATTAAATTTCCAGTTTTGAAGCCACAGTAGACTCGACACCATTTTCGTAAGATACAGCTTCATGCATACATGTAGTATGATCACCCCAACAATACTGTCTTCCAATCTGTCAACACAGTATTTTTGAGGCATTTATCTTCTACACTCTCAAACTTACTTTTTTGAGACTGGGTCTCTCACCAAACCTGGAGCCCCCAGGGTTCCCCAAGTCTCTCTCCAGTTCTGGATTACAAGTGCACAGCCAAGTCTGTGGTCCCAGCTCAGGTCTTTGCTTGCACAGCACTCTACCACTGAACTGTCTGCCCAGCCGGAGGGGTGGGGGTGGGGCTTGTTTTGAGACAGGGTCTCACTTTGTAGCCCTGGCTGGCCTCACCCAACTGTCTGTTTCTCCCAAGTGCTGGATCTCAGTTACAGCTGGGGAACTGGAGGGCCAAAGTCCTCCTTGTAGGACATTCTAGTAAAAGGAGTTATCAACAGACGCCAAATGGGCAAAATGTTAATGAGGTACAGGTTAGCCTCAAACACTTGGAACCCACTAACTATAAAAGGGAAGAGTTTTCACGTTGAATTAATTCTAGGGCTCAAAGATAAAAAACCCAACAGATGCCGGGCGGTGGTGGCGCACGCCTTTAATCCCAGCACTCGGGAGGCAGAGCCAGGCGGATCTCTGTGAGTTCAAGGCCAGCCTGGTCTTTCCAAAGCGAGTTCCAGGAAAGGCGTAAAGCTACACAGAGGAACCCTGTCTCGAAAAACCAAAAAAAAAAAAAAAAAAAAAAAAAAAACCCAACAGATTAAAATTCTGTGTCAAACAGCGCCATCTGTGGTATTCATGCAGGAAATGTCAAAGAACAGCCACAAGACAACAGGCACACCTACCTTCCCTGGTTGACACCATTGTCCTCCAATTGGGCACGCTGGTCCCAACTTTGTGTATCCAAGAGATTGAGGGGAGCTGACAGCTAAGCAGCTTTCTGCCACGTCCTGAGAACACACTAGAGCTTTCCAAATCCTAGGCTAGGTTTGCACACGCAGGCCTGTCAGTGCTCAGCACCGGGCTGCTCTATTCCAGACTATGGCCAGGCTAGTTAGTCCTGAGAACTCCTGCATCGGCCTCCTACCCTTAACAGCAGCAAGGACAACACAGGCAAAGTTGTTTTCAGGTTTATTGAAAACATGACAGAACAGATTCAAACGGCTCCACGCGGTGTTTTGAAATTCATCCCAACTGTAGGCTGAGTGACCTGCAGGTTAGAGAGGCTGCCGAAATCCTGCAACAAGACACAAGACTCTCAGTGAGTGGGGCAGGGTGATCTGTGGTTAGCACCAGCCCCCGCCGGATTGGGGTCTGGACTCAAGTCAGCCAAGGGGCTTTCCACCCCCAGGAGTAATCGTTCAAACCACAACACATCCCTGTTAACCTTCTTCAGCCAGGCACTCCCTAGCCAGGACACACTGAACAGGCCTACAAACTGCAAAACCCAGACCTGTCTTCCATACCTAAGGATTCAACACACTCTCTTGCCACTATTTCCTAACTAAAGCTTAACTGTCAGTATTTCCTATCATTGCCCGTGTATCTAAGGCTGTAAGAACACTACTGCTCATACCGCACCATGGTTGGAGCCCCAGTCAAGAAGTATTACAATTTGCTCAACATCCGAGCAGAAAGCAGATGGACAAGGCACCAGGAGTGGATTAGTTCCGATCAGGCCAAACACACTCAGCACCCAGGGCAGCATGGCTCAGAGCCAAATGGTTTCTAGAGAAATTAAGGCTGCCTCAGGAGCAGATCCACAGCAAGCTCCAGCTGCCACACTGCTGGTCTCACCAAAGCCAGGTGGGGGGGATATAGGGGAGAGTATTTTGTTAGTGACTCAAGCTGCTCAAAATCACTAACAGCAGCTGGACTCTGAAGCCCACAGTACCACTTATGAAAAAAGGGGTAAGAGAAGCCATATCAAAGACACCTGTCAACTGTCTTAAGCAGGGCCTGACTATTCTGAAAATGAGACAAGAGATCATTTCTGAAGTTAGAATCAAGAGTTTCTAAGGAAAGCAGGTAACAGAGCCAGAGTGGAATCAAAGACAACTTAGGAGCCAGCCCCAGAAGAAAAATGCAAGGACTCTGTGGTATAGTAATGTCCCAAAATATTGAAATTATCTTGTAAAAGCCATTTCAATATACGCACAGAACAAGCAGCCACAACCATTTTAAAACCGGGTGACAGAAAGCCACTCATGGCCCTCGACCAGGATCAGCCACACTCACCAGAAGCTTCAGCATTTCCTTGGTGTCAGGATCTACCTCAATGATCTCCTGATCCAGGGCTGAGACCTAGGAAGGAGAGAAGTCCAAATTATGAATGAGTTATTTTCCTCCTCCTCTGCTTCCATGCAAGATCAGGCCTCACTGTCGGACCCTGGCTGACCTGCCCACAGCTGGCATTAAAGGCATGCACCACCAGATGAGCAACAATTTTGCTTGCTTTTCTTTTCCTGAGACAGGTCTCTCTGGCTGTCCTGGAACTCTATGTAGTCCAGGCTGGCCTCAAGCTCAGAGACCCCTCTGCCCTGCCTTCTGTGTGCTGGGATTAAAGGGATGGACCACAGTGCCTGAACGGCTTCATTATTTTTTTTTACAAGATAGGGCTTCTGTGTAACAGTCTTGGCTCTCCTGGAATTTTCTTTGTAGATCAGGCTGGCCTTGAATTTACAGAGCTCCACCTGCCTCTGCCTCCCAAGTGCTGGGATTAAAGGCGTGTGCCACCACCGCCCAGCTTTATTCTGATGCCAGAAATATCTAGTGGGTATTCAGAAAGCCTTAAGATTTCCCACTTGAGATATGTGATCAAGCTAATCAAGCCAGGAGACATGCTCACTAGGCTCCCATGTGGAAAAAAAGAGCAGATAACTTGACCAGGGCGGAAAGAATAACAAATAGGTAGGCAGATTACAGACACTCACAGCCAGCTAAGTCTAGCTAGAGGCTCATGCCTCTAACCCCAGCACTCAGGAGGCAGAGGCAGACGGATCTTTACTAACTCGAAGTGATTCTGTTCTACACTGTGAGACCCTATATCAAAACCCCGAGGAGCCAAATGACTCAGACCTCTCACTGCCAATGAGCCCCCCACCCTCTCAAGAGCCTCCACTATCACTCTTGACAGGATAGAGGTCCAGAGAAAGATCCAAAGCTTACCTCAGGAACATAATTATCTCTCCTTTCTCTCTCTTCTTCCTGCAACTTGATAGAGATACCTCTCACAGGGCCTCTCTGAATCCTCTTCATCAGATGCGTGACATAGCTACAAGCACACAAGCCAGGAAGGCACAGTGACCACACCAGCTTCCCGCCGGTGCCCAGGGCGTCCGCATACAGGACCCACTCGGTTTCTACATTAACGGACTCACCCTCGGAGTCTCCAATACACACTCGACACTGTAATGTAGACACCCACGCCTCACAGACGATCAACCCTCCCCCAAGGATCGTCATTTAGCACCTGAACCCTGACTGGACTTAGCAGAGACCCAGCAAGGCCAACTTTTGGTGCCGTGTGGCCACAGTGACAAATACTACAAGCAGAGGCCGGAACTCTGACTTGTCACCTTCCTTGTCACAGTGCAAAAAGCACTGTGAAACCCACACCTCCAGCTCTTCTCGGGGCCATGGAAACGGCCAGCGCAGGCGGCCCGCGGGGCACCCACTCACCCGGCTATCTTGTTGCGGAGTTTCTTGCTGGGGATAATGGCGATCTCCTCGCACACGCGCTTGTTGGTGTGGAAGTCATTGCCCAGGCGCGTGTAGTACTTCTCGATGATGACCCGGGCCGCCTTCTTCACAGTCTTGGTGCGAACGCGGCCCTGAAGGTGGAGGGCAAAAATCACTGGCGAGCCCGCGCCTTCCGTGGGGGAAGCAGGCGCGGGGCTCGCAGAGGGGCCGGAGCGCGCAGAACTTCATGCGGAAGCGCGCCAGGCCGACAGACACCGCGCACGCCCGGCCCACTGCTCCCCGCTGCGGGATGGGGCCGCGACAAGCGGAGGATGGACGCGGATTGAAAAGGACGGAGGCCTCGCAACCAAACACCTACCATGTTGACGGGTCCCGGTAAAAGAGGAAACAGGAAGCACAAGAGAGGCCTATAAAGCGCAGGCCAGAAAGCCGCTTCCGCCCGGCTGGGGCGGCGCGCAGCTCGCGGCTGTACCACAGCGCCCCCTGGCGGAGTGGAGTGTCAGTGCCTGGCGGTGGGCGGGGCGAGCGTCTGCGCGTGCGTACGCAGGGAGCCGGGCCGTCTGAGTTTCCGCTCTGTGCAGTTCCCTGCTGGATAGGCTTCTCTTCGACTTTGAGGGTGCTTTAGTCTATGAGGGGCTTCGAGGCTTTGAGAACATGGGGCAGACAGGAAGCCCGCGCTTTGGAAAGGTGAAGTAGTAGAGGGAGTCGTTCGTGACTTCCACCTTGCGAGTGGCTCTAGTCAGAGCTTTTAGAGTCTAGCCTGATTAGAGAGGCTCCTCTCACTTCCCCGTGTTACTGCAAACACCGCTTCACCAGAGGGGCTTTTCTTCACACCCCAGCACAATACTGCATTGGAGCTGTTTTTAAACGTCTTGGCACGTCAAGTGACTTTTCTGTTTTCTCAACCAGGGAATGAGCTAACCAGGAAGGGCTAACCTCCAGTGCTTAAAACATTGGCCGGCTCACAGAAAGTTCTCCAATGTTTATATGAACAAATTAAGATCTCAATTTGCTCTGCTGTCCCCAACCAGTTAAGACACTATCTCCAACCTTCAGCTTCTTCTGGCTGTCCTGCCATACCCTGGCCCAAATCAGGCTCTTAAGCCACGGCCCAGTGCCTCATCAGCCTAGGGAGGGCCTTTCCTCTAGCTGTTCCTTGGGACGAGGTCCTAGGCTCAAACCTAACATGAGACTGTGCCAGCCACGTTGGATGTATCAAGGGGCCACGGCTGTGCCGCAACCTTCAACTCATCCACATCGCTCTGGTCAGATGGCAGAGCACAGAAAGCCCATACGGCAGAGCACAGAAAGCCCATACCCTGAAAGCTGCTCGTGTGGGGGGGAAGAGAGATGTCATGACCTAAGGAGCAAGAGGAGAGAGGCTGAAGAGATCAAGGAGTCAGGGTGCCCTCAGTGTTGCACAAGCTTACTTTTACCAGTGAAATGCCAATGAAGTAGCTGCCAGGCTTCAGATGGAGACTAGATCTTTCAGTCTGGCAGGAAGGGAACTCTTGGATCCTGACCAGTAGTGAGTTTCTGCACCTTACAGGAGGGATGCTTTAGTACACAGGAGTCCCTCTACCTCAGACTAGTTTCCCAAAGGATCAGTTCAGCAGGCTGACTCAAAATCTCTCTACCTGAAAATCATCGTGCCTGTCATAAAGCCCTAGTGTAAGGGCTGTCAAGGAAATCCAAGTACTGCTAGGTACAGTGGTGCGCACATTTAATCCCAGCACTAGGATTCTTCTTCACAGGCAGGTTTTTCTGAGTTTGAGGCTAGGCTGGTTTACATAAGGAGTTCCAGGGCAAGGACAAAGAGCCTGAATTAAAAAAGCAAAGTAGCATCCACTCAGAAAGGAATAACATCAGCACAAGCAAGTCCGAGAGAAGAAACATGCCAAGGCTCACAGGACAGCAGGGATCAAGTGGCTTCGGACACCTTGGTGGTTGTGCCTCTGGCATTCTTGATGGCCGAGGAACTGAAACATACAGGTCTCGTTCTGGATTGTAATCACCCGGCTACTGGGCAGATATGACCAAAGTGGCTGACCAGGATGTAACAAGTCTCACATAAGGACAGTCTCACATGCTTGCACCATCACCCTAGACTGGAAATCCCATTACAGAAAATCCAAGAAAAGAGGACTTTTTTTCTGTAATCTTACCTGCTTGCTACACACACCCCAGGCACAAAGACAAAAGCACAACTTTGCTGCAACGTGTTTATTATGTGCCAAAAAAAAGTACACCACAGCTTACTCCACACATCTGTAGTAGAGTGCAGTCTTGCCTGCATATACAACAATGAGGTAGAGACTTCACACACAGCTTCACAAACCCACAGAGTAGCTGGGATATGCAACAATGCAACATCAGCTCAGCAGGAGGGAGGAGGGGTTAGGACACTGGTTCTTTGGCACACAGCTTCCCTAAGAGGGGCAAGTAGTAAGTAAATTAAAAAGAAAAAGAGTCAAGTTTTCAAATTCCAGTAGCATTTTTTTGTTAACTCTGTTGATTCATACATTCTTCAAATAAAATATGTAAGGAAGGGTACTTGCCCCTCTAAGAGAAAGGGCTCCTGTGAGCCTTCAACTGCCCCCACCAAAAAGCAGCCCTTTTTTTTTTTTTTTAATTTTTAAGCTCAGTTACAAAAGAAAAAGTCCTGTGACTGTGATTAAAAACTTCTATCAACCCTTCCCACCCCACGTAAGTGCAATGTAAGAAGGTGCGACAAACTTTTAAAACTATATACAGCAGCTGCTCAGACGTAATTTTTTCCCTCCGGTCCAGTTTTAAATAAAATAATTTTCCCTTGGTTACAAATGCTTTGATTTGCAACTGTGACCAGCAGTCCCCCAGACACAAATTTGCTATAATGTTAAAAGCTGCCAGAAAAGAAAAAAAATCTATTGTTCCAAATGACTTAAAAACTGTTTTAAGGAGTGTAAAAAGGAACCAGTAAAAACCCTCGAGCGTAAACTATGAAATATGATTTGGTTTAAATGAAGAGCAAAGTCTCCTTGTTTGTTTACAGTAAAAAACACCAGCTGAACACTCAGTTTATGCCGTTCAGGTGGGGGTTAAACAAAGGAAAGGCACTGTATGGCAACTGCAAGAATGAACTGATGAGACCTGCGCATCACCACCGTCAGTATTGCAAGGAATGTAAAAAGCGCTTTAATAAATAAACTTAGGTGTAGGCATCTGTCAATACCTTCTGGACACATAGTTTGTTGTTGTTTTTCTTTTCATTTGCAAAATGAGGAACTAGAATCTGGGAAAACTACATTTGCTTGAGGGTGAGCCTGAGGGTCCTTGCTCTGACACACCCCCTGAACACAAAACCTCACAAAACTCATTGTGCATTAATTAGTGCAGAAACAAAGACAGATTTAGCAAGTACAAAGGTGACTACAATTTTCCCTTGTCTGCAGAAAGCTAGCTCCTTGGGCGCCAGTGCAGGGTACAGGCCTGATTTGCCAGCCTTGGGCAATACAGGCCACTGGGCAAGGCCAGCTTCTCTAGCTGGCATCTCAGTTTTTCTGGTTCCTCATCAGGGGGCTGTGGTGGCGCAGGCCTTCCATGCTGTGTCGCCAGTGCCAGCAGCTTCGGCAAAAATACTTGAAGCAAACCTAAAAGAGAAAGAGCGTTAGCACCAGGTACAAAGGTTCTACTTGAAGAGGAAGTGGAAGGCCCCTGGTTTCTGTGGAGCTAGAAGGGATGCTTCCTGCTAGCCCTCTCATGGTAACAGAGCTCTAAGGCAAATGCTATCTTATTTTCATGTAGCTTTATGCAAACATTTTAGGCTCCTGGTGTACACAGAGACCATGCAGGTTCCCAATTCCCCACCCTTCTCACCTACAGAACAGTTGAATTTCATGGCTGCCAACAAGAGAGAACGTGTGAACTGGTAACAGATTCAAGTATAAGCAGACATGCCTTTCTCTTCTCAGTGAAAAGTGACTGGTTTTGCTAGCTGAATAATCTTAAGCAAGTCATAACCTCCTACCAAGAATCTGAAACTGAGGATTCACTGTGAAAGATACTGATCTATAAAAGCTGATTTAGAAAGATACTTGTTTTCAGGCTTTACCCAAACTTACTCTGAGCTCCCGTGGGGGCCTGAGTTTGACTATCTACAGCCTCCATGCAATGACAACATCACTGTAAGACAAACTAAGTATAGATGAATTGCTAGAGTCTGGAAGGTTCCCAAACACTCCAGAGAAGGTTTCAAAATGTGGTCCAATGGTTGTGCCTGCACAAGACCAACCCAATGAACATTTCAGCATGGGCAGGGAAAAGGCTCACAAGCCACCACTCCTAGCTGAGAGCTACTGACAGCTTATGGCTTCTGGAAGAAGGAAAGTCAGTTTAAGGGTTTAACCCTTGGTAGATGGACTACCATGAGTATGTAAGTAGCACACTGGGACTAGGCATGTTACTTTAGAAAAAAAAAAAAAAAAAGGCTGAGCAAGGTGGTGCAGAACTTGGAAAGCACAAGCAGGCCCAATCTCTGAGTTTGAGGCCAGTCTGGTTTACTAGTGAGTCCCAGGCTGAGGTGAAACCCTGTCTCAAAAACAAAAACAAAAAGTAATAGCATCAAAATAAAACAAAAAGATGAAATTAAGAGGGAGTGGATGCGAAGGAGCTAAGAAAAGTAGGGTAGAACATGATCAAAATATATTGTATGCATGCATGAAAATATATTTTAATGTGTTTAAAAAAAAGAGTTCATTCAAAACAGCAACATGAGCACCACTCATCAACTTATTAAAAACACAGACTCTCAGGGTCCACCCAAATCCACTGAATCAGATTCTCATTTCAACGAAGTTATCAGCTGATACGTACATACATTCAAGTCTGAAAAGCATCAACTGCCAAACACACCCAGATCCATCCATGTTCCACCACCCAGAGACACCCAAGAGGAAGTTTCCATGTAGCTTCCACCTTTGATGAGTGTGGGTAGAACCCAGATACAAATACCAAAGCAGTCCAGAAGTTCAGAAATAAGGGAAAACTCAGTCCCAGCAAGGTGTACCTAACCTTTTGGCATTGCAACATAATGCTGTCATCTTCAAGGTTCACACTGGAGAACCATGCAATCCAGATACAAAACCAAATCAACACTTCACAAGTGTGTGTGTGTGTGTGTGTGTGTGTGTGTGTGTGTGTGTGTGTGTGTGTGTGTGTCTCCTAAAATCACAATTTTGGTTGGGCAGCATTCATAGCTATCCTGAGGCAAATGGTACCAGAGACTGTAATTGGACATGCTTGCCAGACTTAGAAAACGTATCAGTAGTGCTTTATTCATAGGTATCCAACTACCCAATATCTATAAAATCACTATCTAGGTATGGTAACACATGCCAGGGATACCAGGGCTCTGGCAGGAGCAGTGAGTAGTAAGAAAGAGGCTCGTTGCAAGCTCAAAGCTAGCTTGGCTACATGAGTCCCAAATCAGGTAGGACTA